GATCTCTCTTATTTTGTTAAAATTATTCACATATTCTGCAAGGGGTTCCCAAACTTTCGCATGCCACTGTATACTATATAAACACATTTATTTTATTTTTGTTAATGTATAATATATATGTGCATATATAGATTGATATGATATTTATTATTATAAAATAATTTTTAAATAATATATTTTGAATATATATAAATAAAATAAAATATTTTCATATAAAACAATTGAAACAAAACAATTAAAATCATTAAGGAAATAAATAATTGATTTTGAGTGTTTTGATTTTAAGGTGAAATGTGACCTGGTCATCTCTTTTCTAGCTTCCGAAACTAGTCTGTTTAAATAAAATGTAAAACATTCTGATTCATAAAATTCATCTTTTCACACCATAAACTGTAGACAGCATCTCATTACCAAACTGTTAATACTCTACATATTTCTCAATCAAACTGCTAAGCTCATGCATCCTCGCAGTGTTGTGAAGGGTTTTTCTGGATGCCGGGCATCAGTCCTCACTCTGAGGGTCTCTGAGCAGAAAGCAGATTAGCACAGCTCGTTTAACATGCTTAACGGGGACGATTTTCCAGTATCACCCAGCTACTGGGTTTCTAGCCCAGCAAAAGCTGAGAGGACTAATTGAAACATCAGCCATATGGAGCAGATTAAAGGTTTGCAGAGGAACAAAGATTAGATTCGACCTCAAACCAGGAGAAATTATACAGGCGGATTAAACACACACAGAACATTATGAAAAGACCTCAAAGAGAATTATTAACCGCTTCTGATACCAATCATTCTAACTGTTATTTAATACCACACAATCTTTACATGAGTTATGCAGCATCACCAAACTTATGACATTCATGGCTGTAGTGCATTAATTTAGAAACCTCAATAAACCCACGACAGATCATAAGAAACTGTTAACAGAAGTTTGACCTCTGCATTTCAGTATATCTGTCCATGCTTTATCTCAAAAGACCTCAAGACTGACAAATCAAGATTAGAAGGACTAGACATCAATGCAAAACCATTTTCAAATGCAAACACAAACTAATGACTTACGTTGAGAACTCAGGTTGAATGATATTCTGTTATATAGATAGGATTGGTGGCCAAGTTCAAATTGGGCCAATGTGATCATAAGACTCGACTATGATTCCAAGTAGATAAATCTAGTTTACTATCCAACAAGAGTGCACTCACCAGCGCCAACCACATGCTTTACATAACAAAAGATTGTTAAAAAAAATAAGAAGTTCTAATAAGAAAAGCCAAATGCAATCCAAAAGTTAACCAAAAGGCACCAAAATTAATTCAGGCTTCAAAGTTTTGTCAAGAAAAACTAACTCAAGTTGCACCAAATGTCTGAATGTCATTACATTTGATAAGAAAATATTAAATTGCATCTGCAGAAAATGAACCAAAATCTTCTTCATCAATGTTACTGTTAATCAACTGGTGCCTTGATGATTTTAAGTGGATTTATCAAGTCAGTTCTTTTCATATTCACACAGGTGTCGTTATAGCCATTGTTTTATTAAAAATATACTAAAAAAAACATTTGGTATATGATTTGCTTTTTTAATCTTCACTCATAAACTGCTAGTAAATTTCACAAATTATTACAAAGAAACGACAACAACACATTACATCTAATGACATTTTTAAGCAGAAAGACTGAAATAGTATTTTCTTCTAAAACATACTCCAATAATCTTTGTTTTATTTACAAAGACAATTAATTTGACAGATTACTTCTTTTCTGCTTGCGAAATGCACTTGTGCTAGCCTACATCTTTAAAATAAATGTAACTTTTTTTGATATTTAATCTAATAAAATGACATCCAGACATTTTTAAGTGACTAAGTGTCCAACTACTTCTCCAAAATTATACTTTTATCGAACAGAAGTGAGCATATTTCAGGCATGTGACACTTAGCAACAAAACCTAAAGAAGTTGATTTCTGGCTTGTTATCTAACGCAGTAACATTCAGACTCATTTTAAGAGTTCGAAGCCACTGAACAAGACAAAATAAACCACAACAACAACAAAATGCATCTTGTAAATTCACAGATAAAAGCACACAGCTGTTATTAAAGGAGAATGAAAATTCTGTGGTCATTAACTCACCCTCCACTTGTTCCAAACCTGTATGAGTTTCTTTCTTCTGTTGAACACGAAAGAAGTTATTTTGAAAAATGTCGGTATCCCAACAGTTGACGAGCACCATTGACACTATTTTCCTACTATGGAAGTCAATGGTGCTCATCAACTGTTGGGATACCGTCATTTTTCAAAATATCTTCTTTCATGTTCAACATAGGGCTGGACAATAATTCAATATCAATATGTATCGCGATATAATTTTTTTCAATAAAGGTGATATGATTTTTAAACACATTTCCGATATTTCGATTATTCGTGGCGTTTGACTTCATTGAATAAACATGAGCACTGCACGTTTCAAAATCAAAACCTGTCGCGGGTGTTTTATATGAATGTATCTCTGAAAGGAACCGAATGTCTTCAGAATAGTTTAGATGGCATTTTTATCTGATAAAGTGGCGTTCATGAGCGGAGCTACTTTGTTTACAGCCGTTACTGGAGAAACCGTTAGTTCTGCCGCTCTCACAGCGCCTCCTGCTGGCAGACAAGCAGTTTGCATTTTCAATAATAAACCCATTTCCAGCAACATGCTTTTGTTGTTACTCTATTTTTTTTGTTTTCACTGAATTCAATGATGAACTGTCTTTAACTGAAAAATGTGTTTACTATTGTCATTTTGCATTATTGACACTATTTTCCTAATTAATGCTGTTCAGTTGCTTTGTCACAATCTGTATTGTTAAAAGCGCTATATAAATAAAGGTGACTTGACTTGACTTGTTTTCTGAAGCAACTCGGAGCATGTTTCATACTCGTTATCCTGGTTAATGCACGTTTCAATCTATAAGAATAATCAGCCTACACTACCAGTCAAAGGTTTTTGAACTGCAAGATTTTTAATGTTTCTTAAAGAATTATCTTCTGCTCACCAAGCCTGCATTTATTTGATCCAAAATGCACCAAAAGCAGTAACATTTTGAAATATTTTTACTATTTAAAATAACTGCTTTCTATTTGAATATATTTTAAAATGTAATTTATTCATGTGATCAAAGCTACATTTTCAGCATCATTAGGCCTACTCCAGTCTTCAGTGTCACATGATCCTTCAGCAATCATTTTAATATGCTGATTTGCTGATTATCAATATTTAAAACAGTCGAGTACATTTTTTCAGGATTCTTTGATGAATAGAAAGATCCAAAGATCAGCATTTATCTGAAATAAAAAGCTTTTGTAACATTATACACTATACCATTCAAAAGCTCTTTTTAAAATGTATATTATAGAAATTATTACTTTCATTTAGCAAGGATGTTTTAAATTGATCAAAAGTGATGATAAAGACATTTATAATGTTACAAAAGATTTCTATTTCAGATAAATGCTGTTCTTCTGAACTTTCTATTCATC